TGCGTTCAAGATCAAACACATGCCAGAGATCAAAGTCAAAATACGCATCGGGCTGCACTCAGGTACCTCTGATTTTTAATCACACATTTGATTTGAATGTCTCTCTCTCTCTCTCTCTGAACCTGTCTCTCTCTCTTGGTCTGCAGGTCCAGTGGTTGCAGGTGTCGTCGGGTTGACGATGCCCAGGTATTGTCTCTTTGGGGACACGGTGACGACGGCGTCCCACATGGAAGCTACCGGGCTGCGTACGTAGTAGTCAGAACATTTTGTGAAGATGTTTTTGGAATGAGGTGTTGTCATTGGAACACACAGTGACATCACAATGGTTGATGTTGTTGTGTTTGTGCTTCTCCAGCCTACAGGATCCACATCAGTCTGAACACAGTGAAGGTCCTGACCAGTCTCAAACTGGGGTACCACATAGACACCAGGAAGGCTCAGGTACGCTCACCTGCTGCAGGGTGTGTGAACAAACGGGATGAAACTGAAACTGATGAAATGTTTGTTTTTTTGCAGGTGAAGGGAACTTTGGACACGTACTGGCTCATGGGTCGGGAAGGATTCAATAGACCACTTCCTGTTCCTCCAGACCTCACCGGAGGGTAAAGAAGAAACCTGTCTCTATATCAACTGTCTCTCTCTCACAAGTGTCCATCTCACTTGTCTCTATCTCCCCGTGTCTACCTCACCTGTCTCTACCTCACCTGTCTCTACCTCACCTGTCTCTATCTCACCTGTCTCCATCTTACCTGTCTCTGTCTCTGTCTCACCTGTCTCTGTCTCACCTGTCTCTACCTCACTTGTCTCTACCTCACCTGTATCTATCTCACCTGTCTCTATCTCACCTGTATCTGTCTCACCTGTCTCTATCTCACCTGTCTCTATCTCACCTGTCTCCATCTTACCTGTCTCTGTCTCTGTCTCACCTGTCTCTGTCTCACCTGTCTCTACCTCACTTGTCTCTACCTCACCTGTATCTGTCTCACCTGTCTCTATCTCACCTGTCTCTCTCTCACCTGTATCTGTCTCACCTGTCTCTATCTCACCTGTCTCTATCTCACCTGTATCTGTCTCACCTGTCTCTATCTCACCTGTCTCTATCTCACCTGTCTCTATCTTACCTGTCTCTACCTCACCTGTCTCTGTATTAACCATCTCTATCCTCACGGCACTATATCACCTGGCTTTGTCTCAGCTGTCCCCATTTCCTCCCCTCTCTCTCACCTGTCTATATCTCACCTGTCTATATCTCACCTGTCTCCATCTCACCTGTCTCTATCTCCACTGTCTCAATTGCACCTGTCTCCATCTCACCTGTCTCTCTCTCACCTGTCTCCATCTCACCTGTCTCTCTCACATGTCTCTATCTATCTCACCTGTCTCTATCTCCACTGACTCAATCACACCTGTCTCTCTCTCACCTGTCTCTCTCTCATATGTCTCTATCTATCTCACCTGTGTCTATCTCCACTGTTTCAATCTCACCTGTCTCTCTCTCACCTGTCTCTCTCTCATATGTCTCTATCTATCTCACCTGTGTCTATCTCCACTGTCTCAATCTCACCTGTCTCTCTCTCACCTGTCTCTCTCTCGCCTGTCTCTATCTCACTACAACAGGCCTGTATTGGCGTGGGAAACATACTTTTACGTTGCCAAAGCGAAACTGAAAATAAAACAGAACACAAAGAACAATCTAAAAACATTGCCAATGTAATAACGCTGAATAAGGATTAGGTGTTATGTTCTTCAAACAGATAACTTTGAATATAGATAATAATATTTATTTACAGATCTCTGGTCTGTGTGTTTGTACCGTTAAACACAGAGGTAAGAAGTGACACACAGATGGTCAGACTGTATACCTGGTGGTTTCTAGCTGCCGGACGCTCTCTTCCGGTCACAGCACCTGTCTCTCTCTCACCTGTCTCTATCTCACCTGTATCTGTCTCACCTGTATCCATCTCACCTGTCTCTATCTCACCTGTATCTGTCTCACCTGTATCTGTCTCACCTGTATCTATCTCACCTGTCTCTATCTCACCCATCTCTATCTCACCTGTATCTCTCTCACCTGTCTCTATCTCACCTGTATCTCTCTCACCTGTCTCTATCTCACCTGTATCTGTCTCACCTGTCTCTAACTCACCTGTAGCTCTCTCACCTGTCTCTATCTCACCTGTCTATATCTCACCTGTCTCTGCCTCACCTGTCTCTATCTCACCTGTCTCAATCTCACCTGTCTCCATCTCACCTGTACCCGTCGCTCTCTCACCTTTCTTGATCTCCCCTTTTACTGACCTCTCTTCTTTACCTGTCTGTATCTCACCTGTCTCTATCTCACCTGTCTCCATCTCACCTGTCTCAATCTCACCTGTCTCTACCTCATCTGTCTCTACCTCACCTGTCTCCATCTCACCTGTCTATATCTCACCTGTCTATATCTCACCTGTCTCCATCTCACCTGTATCTATCTCACCTATCTATCTTACTTGTCTCTCTCTCCTACCTGTCTCTCTCCCTAACCTGTCTCTCTCTCTCAGGGCCAGTAATCATGGGATCAGCTTGGAAGAGATTCCAATTGCAAGAAGACAAAAGTTTCTGGATCGACAGAAGAAGAATAAAAAATGATGCCAATACACCGAACACACACACACACACACACACACACACACACACACACACACACACACACACACACACACACACACACACTACCTCGAGGATTGTGCTTTAAAGGACATTAAATATTAAATCAGCTGGTGAGACATTTTCAGCCAAAATCGAGAATGAAGTTCTGACCAGAGGAACGCTGACATGGACAAAGATTTCTACTTCCTGTTTGTAGCTGAAGGATGCTGGGCTGTGATTGGTCAAACATATTCCTTCCTCTTAACAATATTCAAGCTGTCATTTTCTGTGCCTCACATGGTCTGTTAAACGTAATCTCTGCAGACAGTCGTTTTATCTTTTCACAGTAGGAGAACGTTTTCACAGTGACACAACGAGACAAAGTCGATGAACACACGAGTTATGAATGGTGCAGATGTTTTGTCTGAAAGCATTCGACCATTCACTCCGCCGCTGTATCATCGTCCTCTGCATTCAAACACCACCACGTTCAATGAAGAGGATTTATCAAACAGGAAACTCGTCTGTTCAAAAAGTCTCATTCTCTCTGTGCTGGTGTTCACATCATTTCTTTTGGCCCCAAGGCATGATGGGAAAAAGTCCTGGAGAGCTGACGGCGGCTGTTTTCAAAAACCACCTACTGTACTAGTAGTGCGATCAGCATGTGACAGAAGTACCAGGATGTTGTACTGATACATCTACACAGTCTGCATCCAGTCAATCCTCGCGTACTGTTTCCCACAATGCAAAGCGCCCTGACAGAGATCGAAATGAAGGGACATCCAGCAGATGGCGGTAATGGATGCTAACCGCCATGAAAACCAACAGAAGAAGAAGAAGAAACGATTTTAACATCGTAACAGAGGAAATAACACTCAGTACTCTTCCAGTAACTTTCTTCAGACTGTAAGTGGACGCTACACCGCGGCGGCGTTTGACCTCAGCTGGGCTCTCGTCAGCCCGGTGTTCTGCAGAATAATCCCCGACTGACAGTCAGACTACAGACCGCTGTAGAACGCAGTGTACAGCTCATACTGCGTTCCATGGCGGTGTGTAGGAGGCGGGTTTTTGAAAACAGCCCATCAGTAGAACAGTACTTTTCACAATGAATTGTGGGATACATTAGTGGATAATATCACTCCGAGCAAGTGGAGCATAATGAGAATAAACTAGTGAGAACATGAAGATGAAATGATGATACATGAGAATAAACGTATGAAATAGAGAACCTACCCCTGTTCTTTAGTGCAGTGCATGATGGAAAATACTGTTGGAGAGTGAGCGAGTGAGCGAGTGAGTGAATGTGATAAATAAATGGATGTAAAGGTGTCACATCCTGGTCTCCAGGCATTATTATGGTACCGTTCTGAGCTCATTTATTGATCCGTCACAATCAATCATTCTGACACGACGAGCGTGCAAAATGGCTTCCTATTTTATTTCCAGTCGGGTATTTTTTATTTTTTTTGCTCACAATTTTGACTCTTGCGTGAGTTCAGTTGTGTGTTTTTGTCGTTTTAAAGATGTCTGAATTGTAAACACACATGAGAGAAGCTCAAGGTTTCCTCTCAGTCATCTCGCTCCGAGCTGCGCGGTGGGATCAGAGGAGGGAGCCTCGCTGTGACGTCATTCATATCCCGCTGAACGAAGTTGAAACGAGTCGTTAGCAGTGGGTTTTTTGTTTTCTGTGAATGTCGCAGCATGTGACCGATGAGAAAACGTCTGTAATTGATTTGTGAGGTCCCGTTGTTCAACCAGTCCTCCTCTCTAAAAGCTGCCATGTTTCCATGAGATATTCACTGTTTGTCAGTCAGTAAATGTGTTAAAGAATGAACTATTAAACTGTCGCTATGATTCTTGTATTTTTGCAGTTTTATTCTTATTTGACTTTAGTTTTCACTCCGACAACTAAGGTTTGCATCTTTAGAATATTTAGTTCAGTCAGAACCGTCCACCAACAGAAAATATTAATGGACCAAGCCTGAGTGACGTCCCCCGTCTGTTCCTGCAGGGGGCACTAGAGTCCCATCGATGGCGGTCTCCATGCTGGAAATGCTGTCTCAGTCTAACTTTCAGTCAACCTAACGACAGGCTGAGAGCTGGAGCTGAGGCGGGTTTTAAACCTCCTGACAAACCGTTACACCGCGCCCACCTGTCAATCAGGTCAGCTACACGCCTTATTGTGAATAACTCTTATCCTTCATCAAATCAAAACTGATGAGTCATCAAAACATTCACCCCCCGTACAGTGTGTGTCCATCCAGACATGAGCTAATCACACCTATTTGGTTTTTTGAACCAGGCTGTAAACATGTTCATCTCTGCTGTAAAAACAGGCTTTTTAGAATGGGTGTGTATGTGACTTCCTGTGCTTCTGCAGCCAGCCTCTAGTGGACACTCAGGGAACTGCATGATTTTACACCTTTTGTTTTTTCTTCTTCCTCTTACCTCATGGTTTATTTTAATATTAGGTTTGTATTGATATCAAATGTGTTTTCCCCTCTAAATTTTTGCGACAAACACCTTGAATCTGTTCGATTTATCCACACACGTGCACAGAAGTATGTCTCTTTGATGGTGTTTTGAAAAGTTATTATTATATTATTATTATTATTTATAGGAGTCTTGGTTCCTGTCTCTCTGCAGGAGTTGAGATAGGAGTTTTGACAGGTCTGATATGTACTTGGGCGGCCATAAATGTACCTGGGCGGCGCACCCAAGTATAGTATGTGTGGGAAACACTGGGTTAAGACATTCCTTTAAATGAACTGTAGGTGACTGAGAGAACTCTGAAAATGAAAATGGCTTCTCCCCTCCTGAAACTGATCATTTTGTAAAAGCAGCACATGATAACTTTGGGATGATCATAACATATTTCACAGATAACACAGGTTGTTTTTTTTCAATGCTCAAAGCTTTTTTTATTTTGCATAAGAAAAGGAAGAAAAAGGTTCATTTAAAAGAAAAAATTAAGATGTGCTTAAAGCATCCTTTCCATTACACATTCAGTCTGAACTTATTACGGGCACGAGGCCTCAGAGACAATCCAGCTCCTGTTGTCGTCACGTGTCGCGTCTTTCTTTTAGCGTTACAGCGATAGAGAAGATAGAGAGAGAGAATAAAAGAGATTTAGAGCGTTCCAGGTTCTTCATGCCTTTCGAATCGGACCAGAAATCACCGTCTCCTGTTTCTGACACAGACGGAGGGACGCTTAAGCCAACACTGGGCATCATCCCAGCATTTGCGACCTGTAAACAACAGAAACATAGAACAGAAGAATACAGATAAGAATTACAAGACGCTTTAACTCTGACACCTAGTGGTTAAAATTAGTACTGCAGTCCAGATTCCAAACATTATAGAGATCTGTCTAAATCCAGAGCATTCAGGAGCAGAATCTAAAGTTAGAAGGAGGACATACTGGCTGCTGCATTGTTAACAGAGAAGCCAGCACTTCAACATAGCATGTTTCCTTAATGTCTGATCAGAGAGTAAGATACCTTTATCTTTTTACTCTGTAGATATCTTACATAATGTTCCTTTATGATGCCAGTCAAAAGATGAAACATTTATACATAAGGGTCAGATTTACTAAAGGTTTGCGTGTCTTAAAATGCGTGCAAAAAAAAAGTGCTATCCGATCTACTAACGGCGCACAGTGTGGATTGCGTCTTTCAAATGAGCAAAACAACACGCATTGTCCATTTAGTATGTTTGACTTAATGAATATGTAATGTGGGGCGTTTCTGCCCTAAAGTGCAAAATACTGGGAGGAGAAAATGCAAACAAGTTAAGTTAGTACACGTATTGTGATTTACCAAACCTGACAAAAATTGAGGTGATTGTGACGGTGTCTGAATTTAACACAAGGAAGGTGCTAACCCAGGAGACCAGTGTTACACACAACAGACTGCTGTTACTGAAGTTAGGAGGAGACATAGGCACAATCAAAAGAAGGCATAAAGGTCGCGTCTTTCCCCGTCTATGTGTTTACATGTTTCAAATGGCATGCATTTATTTTTTTATTTGATTCAATATTCTAATCGTTAAGGAAGAGAAACACTGTGATTAAACTACAGGCTGTTGTTGCCAAAGAAAACTGAACATTCACAGCCTCTGCATTCTATAGAATTTCAACATTGATATTTATGTCTTCCTATTTCCCTTTTTTTCGCCAACATTATATTTTAAACTGGGGATTTCCTTTTTCTCGGGTGGCACGTCTCTCCCCCAGCTCACCCCCTCTGGTGCGCTCCTCTCCATAATCACCTCCCTCTAAAGCTGCTGCTACTCTGTAGGACGCTTGGCTTGGGGGACCTCACCACTGTTTGTACCCCCGTCTTCGATATCTCTTTCCAGGTTATTCATGTCTGATCAGACACAGCGCTGGCCAGCTGTCTGCTGCACAACAACAGGGAGTGTAGAGCGCCCGGTCCACAGAGGACACAGCTCACACCTCCTGCTCAATGTATGACACTTCATTCTTAAGATGAAGGGAAGAAAAGAGAGGCCCTGTTTAATGCCGATGTTTTCTTATAACCTATTCAGATTTATATCATATAACTCGAAAGCATTGTGTGTTTATTTGCCTCTCCCACTAATACCTATTTTGTGCTTGCAGTCGTCCTACTTTCTGTCAAAACTCTCCATGATGTAAACCAGTAGAACACGCAAAAGCCTAACTTAAATAGTACCGCCTCCACAAGGTTTGCACCTGGTGTCATTTACGCAAACTTTCTTCGTAGATCACCCGCAAAACGCCCACCAACCAAACGTGCAAACTTTTGGAGTGAACACGCAATTTAGTTCTCTTTAATTGGGAACTTAATAAATCTGGCCCTAACTTTTCTTTTTTCCCCTGTATACTTAAAAAAATAATACAATTCATGACTTACGGGAGAAATTCATCTGCAAGCAGTCCTGATTTCCAGCATTGTTTGGTTCTCCACAGCACCAGTTTTTGTAGTTGAGGCGGGAACCATCACTCCAGCGCCAATGACCCTCCTAGAAAAGAGAATAGAAGTCATTAGAAAAACATTTATGTTTGAACACCATCAACTGAATTAATCACTATAGACACCAGAACGATCCCAGGAAGTTTGGTTCAATGGGCCAGACTTAAATGTCGGAAAAATCCACTTCACCATGTTCCTCTAACTCTAACATGTGTCTCTAGTCCGTCTACAAACCCCCCACTGATGAGAAAAGTCCATCCTCTCCGTCTTCTGCCAGCTCCACTTCAGAAAATGTGTGCTCAAACAGGCCGTTTGGAGATTTTCCCTTCATGACATCACAAAGGGCAGTAGCCCCTCCCCCAGGTGGGTGACACTCCCACAGCTAGGTGTTTTTTCTGCCCTCTGAGTCTGCCTTCTCACCGTAAACAATAGGACATGGAGCAAGAAAGCACCGAGTACACCCAAGCCCTTCCAGAGAGGGGGTGTGGTCAGACACAGCTCATTTACATATTTAAAGGTACAGACACAGAAACATCCTGTTCTGAGCAGGGCTGAAATAGAGGTGTTTATAGACATGATCAAATACAGGATATGTGTGTTGCTTAATGACTTACCCTACACCGATCAGTGCCTCCAATCCAAGTCGCTGGACTCCCCCTAGAGCTCTTTTTTATCAGCGCTCTGATTTTAAGGTACTGCCGTCTTGAATGCACAGATGCCAGGTGTCCACCGAGGCGGCGGCAGTTCCTCTAAAGGGAAGATAAATAGAAAACTGTTGGTTCCGGGTCTGGACTTCACTTGTGAGAGTAAGAAAGACTCCTCGAAATCACAGTGTGGTTTGCAAAACTTGCCTTTGGAGAGATTATCAAATGTACATAGTAACTTTAGCAATAGTAAAAAGAAAGAGTCATAGGAGGATAGTAAAGTTACAAAGAAGTCCATTCAAGAAGCATTCTGCATGTTCATCATCTTTTACCTCAGCCTGATGCCAAGTCAGAGGTTTTCGAACGTAGAAGAAATAGCGGCAACCGATCTTGGTCCAACAAGGACGCTTCCACCTGTGAACGATCTTAGGCCTACAAGGACGCTTCCACCTGTGAACGATCTTAGGCCTACAAGGACGCCTCCACCTGTGAACGATCTTAGGCCAACAAGGACGCCTCCACCTGTGAACGATCTTAGGCCTACAAGGACGCCTCCACCTGTGAACGATCTTAGGCCTACAAGGACGCCTCCACCTGTGAACGATCTTAGGCCTACAAGGACGCCTCCACCTGTGAACGATCTTAGGCCTACAAGGACGCCTCCACCTGTGAACGATCTTAGGCCTACAAGGACGCCTCCACCAGCACGTCCTCTTGTCAACATCGACCTCTCCTGAAGGACACACACACACACACACACACACACACACGCACAGATGAAGGAATGATGTTTAGTTAACGGCACCCAAACACAACTCGATACAGAGCTCATTAGAAACATGCAGAGGCTTTTTAGGTCGGGTACAATCACTTCTATCTGAACCACTTCTCTTGCTGCTTCCATCGCTGCAACACCTGTTGACCTGATAACTGCTCTCATATCTGGCAAACCGAGGGGCTGAGCTTGTTTGCTTAATGATGTAGTTAAGACACTTCACCATGAAACACACAGCATGTTTTAAGGCTCCATTATAGAACATGAAATAAGCATCATAATAAATAATGTAGAGTTTATCCTCACCTGATTTTGCGTTCTCAGGTTCCGGCTCTGCAGCAGCTGGAAAGTTTTGACACTTCAGTTATCACATGAATACGACCACAACATGTCACACATGCAGGGGCGTGTCCAGAGGGGTGGCAGGGGCCCCCACCTTGAAATCTGATTGGCCACCCAAAAAATCCAAATCTATGATTGGCTGTTTTGCCTATTCAGAGGCGGGACTTACGTTAAAACCAACTATTCTTGATGTTCTCAATAGTCTGCCGTTGGTCACCTTTACGAGTTAATGTCGTAACTTGTTTTTCGTCATTGCTTTCCGTTGTAAATAAATACTTTGCCTACTTTTTTCTTTTTGCCATTTTGTAAGTTCTTTAAATAGTGACTTTGCACATCTGGACCGCACCCCTGCCCCCCATGTTTCATCCTCACCTTCAGCGCTGCTCAGAGCCACCATGGCACAGAGGAGAGCGCAGAGAGCCAGGAGCTTCATCGTGACGTTGATGATGAGATGATGCTGAAGATGAATCAACAGACGTGTTATTGACGCTGCTGTGAGGAAAACAGAGTCGTTAAGATAGTTGAAAATGTGCAGCACCTTTACCTTCTCGTCTCGTGTCTCAGCGTAGCTTCAGTCTGTCCGAGTGTGGATACTTCACAAGAGCAGCAGCAGCTCTTAAATACAACTTTTTATCTCAGCATCTCCAAAAACAAGGAAGTGAACACAGGCTTACGACACTGAAATGTTATAAAGTTTTTTTAAATACAAATCTTTCACAAGGGATTCCAGTCCGGTTAGCTGGTTTGGTTCAGTACAGTTTGGGTCAGTTTGGTACGATAACCCTGATCTTTTGTTGTGTTTCCACAGCCAGCCATGCCCTTATTTGGTAAAGCGGAGTGTACGCCAGATGGAGATAGCCGCTCCAGTAACAAAATAGTGTGACATCACAGCAGCCCAACATGGTGTGAAGTTAAACGTTCAAGAAGAAGAACAGGTACACGGTAAACAAGGGATCCTCTAGGGTCGGATCAGTATGCTTTGCACCCCAACAGAAGGCAGGGCAACTTTATTTCTATAGCACATTTCAACAACAAGGCAATCCAAAGAGCTTCACACAAGACATCAAAAGCATCATGACAGAGGAAAGAAAAGAAACATTAAAATAGAACATTAAAAAATCAGTGAAATTATTAAATCTGAAAATATGTTCAAATTAAATGAATTGAAGTAAAAATATAAAAAGAGTTAAAAGTTACAGCTCAGAGTTAAAGTTTAAAATCTTATTAAAGCTGTTTAATGAAAAGCAGCTGTAAACAGGTGAGTCTTCAACCTGGATTTAAAACAGCTGAGAGTTTCAGCAGACCTGCAGTTTTCTCGGAGTTTGTTCCAGATATAAGGAGCATAGAAACTAAATGCTGCTTCTCCGTGTTTGGTTCTGACTCTGGGGACAGAGAGCAGACCTGTCCCAGACCACCTGAGCAGTCTGGATGGTTCAGAATTAATCAGGAGGTCACTAATGTATTTCAGCGCTTTATAAACCAGCAGCAGGATTTTAAAGTCTATTCTCTGACAGACTGGGAGCCAGTGTAAGGACCTCAGAACTGGACTGATGTGATCCATTTTCTTGATCTTGGTGCAGACTCTAGCAGCAGTGGGTACCAAAGGGTACTAAAGTAGGACGGTACGGGTCTTATTTTGGTACCATTCCCAACTTTTGACCGTGGAAAACGCCAATAAATGGGTACCTTACTGAACCCAACTGAACCGGAACACTCGGTGGAAACGGGTCGATAGAGGATTGATTGATTGAATCAAGTCAACTATGGTTATATTCTTTAATAATTATATTCAATTATTAATAATAAAAATAACAATATCATTAAACTATGTTTAATCTCTCTTGGGGCACCACCCTGTAATCAGGGAAAAATAACCAAAATATCACTCAAATCAGTCTCAAATTAGTTATTTAATTACTAATATTATTAATAATTAATAACTATATTTAATAAATTGAAGGTGTGAAATCCGTACACAAAGCCCTCACACCCAGCTTATATCACAATGTAAATACACCAGTAATCACAAACAACTGCTCTTATTATAACAGAATTTATTTAAACAAAGCAACATCAATCCAAAATCAATGAACTTAATCAAACAAATAGCTATTATAAACTAATCTAAGCAAACAAACATTATCAAGCAAAACTTGTGAATGAGGTGTAAGTGTGTGTGTGTGGATGAGAGAGAGAGAGAGAGAGAGAGAGAGAGAGAGAGAGAGAGAGAGAGAGAGAGAGAGAGAGAGAAAAAACAAGATGGTGGAGAGAGACAATGCACCATGTGGCTTCGTCACATGTGGACAAAATGGTTCAGTAACTGTTACTTAAACAGCAGAAAGCCAGTGGCCGGACTTTGATTCAACGGCGGGTACACTGGTCTTTCTGATTGTGAAAGTCGTTGACTGAAGATAAACTAGCATAGCATTACATACAAAGGCAAACACAGTGGTTCATCATAATAAAACAAATTCAGCAGCTTACAACAGATAATAAACAGAATGTGACGTGTCGTCAACAATGATGCATAATTATCAGTGGTTATGAAAGAAACAGAACTATTTCTGAAACTATTTCTGCCCAGACCAAAGCTCTTACTTGGGGAAACTCCTGGTGATCGTTGCAAAGTTAGTTAGATCGTCACTCTGTTGAATGTTAAATCAACAGATTCAGGCAGGTTTCCTTCGTGGCAGATGTAGGAGGACGGTAGCAGGATTCAGATCTTCGACCAGAGCGCTGCTCTATAGGGTCTTCTGGTTGCAGGAGCCGAGTTCTTTATGTGTCTTTGTGGATTCAGGGATCAGTGGGCTTCCTTCAGCGCTCCTGTCCAGTTGTGTTCAATGACGTCTTACGAAAAATCAAAGGAAAGAAACTCTTCTTTTTGCTCGAACCTGATAGCATCTGATTGCGCCCAAAACTCCTAAAAATATGGAAGAAAATGTGGAAGTAGTCAGCTGAATCCTCTGATACTTGAATTCAGACTGGAACTGCCTGTGGGTTTACCTCAGGCCTCCTCCAATAAGGATAGAGAACTCAGGCACCCCCACCCCCCCCCACTTTTCACACCTATTTGTGGGGTTGGTGGGCTAAAACTCCTTTGTATAGTTCCCTCCAAAATAACTCTAGTCAGGCTTGAGAACTGCGATACAGGCTTGAGTCCTTTGTCCAGCACACATGGCTGAGGCCCAACACACCACATCAGTGATTTGCGCTCGACAGAACTCTTTTGCACCATGTTGTTGCAGTTTAGAGACTCACTGAATCAGGTGAACTGCGAAGCATCAGGACTGAAAGTCGGGATTAAAAACTGAACAGCCGACCTTTGACCTACGATGGATTGCAAAATAGAATTGAATGTTTTCTCTTGAGGAGAAACGTTTGTCTTCACTGTGTTCAAAGTCCCAATGATGTGGAATAAAATAAAAATGATAACTCTGATGAAACAACTCCCCGACTTCTCTTTTGGACTTCTTATCAGAAGTTTCCACTTCTCCAAAAAGTTCTTGGGCAATGACAGCTCAGGCCGTTGGTAAATGAGAGAAATCTAAAAGTCATGTTGGGACCATAATTATGCAACAGTAATGTATAGATGTCACAACTCTGCTCTGGTTAGAAAAAACAGACTTTCAGAAATGACAATAGAACACGAGACGTTTTCACACATGCGTCTCCTGAGGGTAAAACGTGATGGGAGAAAGAAGACGCTAAAGTGGCAGACGAAGCCACAGAGTCCTCTATACGATGCTATAGTGAGAATATTTACCTTCATATCAATGCTTCATGTAGTTAAACAGAATCACAATATGAACTAAAGAGTGGAGAAGAACATTCTGGGAAAAGCCCTCAACAGAATCGTGAGTGAACATTTTAAAAAAGTGTTTCTTCCGGTTGACTTTATGGAATGAACTGCCGATGAAGAATGTCAAAGAAGCAGCACATTAAAGAACGAAAGCAGGACGGGGAGAGAAGTGGCTCGAAAGCAGTTTTGATTGGTCCAAAGCAAGTCCAAAAAGAAGGGCTGTAAACCATAACCACATGAAATAGTCCTTTAAATATTTGTGGAATTCCTAAAATAAAACATAAACCAAATATATAAAAAGTGACAACACCTTTTGAGAAGAGGGGTTTCTAATAAGCTCCACGAGCAGAAACGTGCTCAAACTAGGATCAATATTGGAAATGCTTTTGAAAAATGGAGAGAGGTTAGAACACAGAAAGGTTTACAGACCCATGCAGAGCTGGATAAACACTGAAGCTTCAGAGTCCACCACATGGTGACCTGCGTGAGCATGGACTCTAGAGAGGAGGGGGGGAGGGGGGGGAGACAGCTCTCTACAATGTTTAGAATTTAGACTGCAGTACCTATTTTAAACATGTAGCCGTTATCAGCAGTCACGTTTACAACCTCTCTTCCTGCAGGACTCAGGACTGTGGATTAACATCTGGGTTTATTTTACTAAGGAACAAAGGAACTGATCAATGATTTAAGTCTCCCTCTCAGACAGGATATTATGAACTTTTACAACACCTGGAATAAACAACCGAGCGGAAACAGAACACTCTGCTATCTACAAATTGACCCCAAAGACATGAACTGTGACCGAAACCAATCTCTGCAAAGTCTTAAAATTGACCATCTGTTGAAGGACTGCTGAAGAACTGATTAAACCACAGCTTTCAACTCTGCATCAAATGAACATTTATGTCTTTCTTCATCTAGATATTTGTAATTGTCACATTGAATGTATTATAATCATCTTTTTAAACTCAAAATCTGATCTTCAGAACAGCAATAAGAGTTATATTATGTTTAATAGGAATTTGACATGGAGCGCTATTGCCATCTAGTGTTAGAATATCCATGAATACGTAACCTTCATAATTATACATTTAGATGTGTTATAAAGCATACTCTTTGATATTAGCTATAGAAGGTGTTATTTAAAGACACCAACTTCTTTTCCTACTTTATTAATATGTCTTATTAAGAATGCTGACTGTATAACATGTTTTTTGTTCACCTACAGGCTGGGATTGACTGAGGATGTTCCCAGATGGTGTGATTTTCATCTCAACATGAATCTGATAGAAATGTTTGTTTAAATATATGATGTGAACCTACATCAACGTGGATCTGATAGAAATAAGATCAAAATGAATGTATGGTGACGTATATATGTTTAGATTCTTATTCTTAATCTTATTGAGTAAACTCGGTTTAGTTTAAACAATTGGCCTCTGATCAGAATGGGAGTCACCTGTGGGCTGCACCCCTCTTTGCCTACAGACCCCCCTCCCATCCAACTGATAAGAGTTCACACTGAGCTCAGATCTTTAATTTTTTTTTGTTTTTGGTTTCTTGAAGTTTAGAGCTTCAGCTCTTGCCCTTGCGGAGCCCGCTGTCTCTCTGGTGCATGAGGTTAGTGAAGGATAGCTTGTCACGCTGTCCCCCTTCGCCGATTTGGCCACAGATCCTAAACTCACGGCAAATAGTTACTTCTGGCGACTTAGGTGAAGGTCCTGGACAGGGACGATTGTGGGGATGTTTGTATGTTCAACTTTTCTCCAATACTTTGTATTTCCACATCCAAGGCTTACGGGACTGCTGCAGCTCACGGTATTTTTCTTTCATCTCTGTCATGGCGCGACTCCCTCA